GATGTACAATAGCCTCCACATCACAGTCCTTGTTGGCATACTTGATTATTTTAGAAATATGCTTCTTGTCCCTACTGGCAGTAGCACTTGGAAGACACCTGACCTCTTTTGAAACCACTGTATTCTTTCCTAAATTTACATCCCTTATAATTGAATCACCTACTAGAAGGTGGCTTCTCTTTTTGGATTCCTTTCTGTTCTTGCGTGACTGATGTGTAATACCTGATTCGCAATTCTCCCTGTCAAAACCAAGTTCTTCACCTTGGATCACAATCCCCTGCTTATTTGAGTTATCAAATAATACCTTTACCTGTCTCCTTAATGTCCCTATTAAGGTCAGCAAGGGCACTGTATCTGTTGTGCAGGGACACAGCGAAAGCTTTGTGTTTATGGTTCGCAGCTCTCACCCTTCCAGATCCCACAGTTGTCCACACTGCTCTTTTCCTGCAGGATCTTTGTGGTAGAGGGGGTTGGTAGTGCAGAGGCTCAGTAGAATAGGGGGACTGAACTGGACACCTAATTTCTGCCTGAAGAGCACAGATTACATACCTTACATAAATAATCTGTACTTGTAGACTAGTGATTTGTTTATAGATAGGACAGTTTCCAAGTTTGAAAGTTTGAAAAGGGTACTGTGAAAGACAGCTGCAAAACAAGTGTTGCACTAAACTAAGCCAGACATTGTTAGATACAGGGAATCTCAGATACACTTGCCCTGAATGTACCGCTGTTTTTTTTAATTTTTAGTTATATAATTTGCATGCCATTAGGCACGCAGGCCGCTACTTTTCTAGTGCAGCCTCCCAAGGCAGTTAGTAAAACTTCCTAGAAGCTTAAATACAATGGAGATTGATACATTAGATACATATTTTGCCTTCTGTTTGTGGAGATATAATAAAATGTAGGCATGTTAAACACTCTTTCTTTATGAAGTTAATAGGCAGCAGTATATTTGTGTAACCTAGTTCCTACTACTATGGCTGTGGTCCAGAGGTTGTTGTTTACATAAATAAGAGAGGTGTCCTTCTAGGGAGGAGGAATAGGACAGTGTAATAAGAAACAGCAAAGTAAACAATGTTGTTTAGTGTACATATTAATAATCTCAGGAAGACTATTGCAGGTGTGAAATACAACAGGGAAGTCATTTCAATAACTTACCCAAAGCATTCCAAAGGAAGGGTTGCAGTGTAATTGTGTTATGCCTTTTATCTTTCTGTTTCAAATGTAATTAAGCAAACATATATAATTGGAGGAGGTGTTTTGCTCAGGGCTCTCTCTTCTGCTATCCGCTGGCAAGAAGCCCAATGATCACTGTAAGCTGTCCAATAAAGTATACTTTGCTGCATATATCTCCAAATATTTTGGTTTCAGAATACAGTAAGCAGTTTTCGTACAACATGTAATATGTATACTTTATTTCTTTTAAAAAAATGTCTGGTTAAAATGAATACCAAATAATACATCAATAAATTTCAAAAGTCATGCATCCCAATATGGTGTAGGAGATGACCAAGTTGAGCACAAGGGAGGGATCAACCCTGTGATCAGTCTCAAGTCCCTTTGCACCCACAAGATATCTAAGTCCAGCCTACTTGAGTTTCATTGACCCCTATCTACCACCAATTTGCTTTGACCATTAGTAGTTCAGATTCTTGAAAAGAGTGTTAGCATGCAATAAATCTGTGTTCATTTAAACTGCTTCTGATTTCTTACAGTTGATATTGTTATTGTTTTTGTTAATTGCGAAGTCATGTCTGACCCATTGCGACCCCATGGACAACGTTCCTCTAGGACTTCCTCTAGATAGAAAAATGTGGGGTAGACAGAATCACCACCAGATGGATCTGTAGCTGGCTGACCGGCCGTACTCAGCTAGTGGTCCTCAATGGAAGTGCATCTATATAGAGGGAAGTGTGTAGTGGGGTGCCCCAGGGCTCTGTTCTTGGCCCAGTGCTCTTCAACATCTTCATCAACGATTTGGACAAACGGATAGATGGGGAACTCATCAAATTTGCAGATGACACCAAGCTGGCAGGAATAGCCAACACTCCAGAAGACAGGCTTAAGATATAGAAGGATCTGGAAAGACTTGAACACTGAGCACTAACTAACAAAATGAAATTTAATGGTGAAAAAAGCAAGGTTCTACATTTAGGCAAGAAAAACCAAATGCACAAGTACAGCATAGGTGGCACCATGCTCAATAGTAGTAACTGTGAGAGGGACCTCGGAGTCCTAGGAGACAATCACCTAAATATGAGCCAGCAGTGTGCTGCAACTGCCAAAAAGGCCAACACAGTGCTAGGCTGCATTAACAGAGGGATAGAATCAAGATCACATGAAGTATTAATGCCACTCTACAATGCCTTGGTAAGGCCACACTTGGAATACTGCATCCAGTTTTGGTCGCCACGATGTAAAAAGATGTTGAGACTCTAGAAAGAGTACAGAGAAGAGCAACAAAGATGATTAGGGGACTGGAGGATAAAACATAAAAAATGGTTGCTGGAATTGGGTATGTCTAGTTTAACGAAGAGAAGGGCGAGGGGGGACATGATAGCAGTATTCCAATATCTCAAGGGCTGCCATAAAGAAGAGGGAATCAAGCTATTTTCCAAAGCACATGAAGGCAGGACAAGAAGCAACGGGTGGAAACTAATTAAGGAGAGAAGCAACCTAGAACTAAGGAGAAACTTCCTGACAGTGAGAACAATTAATCAGTGGAACAGCCTGCCTCCAGAAGCAGTAAATGCTCCAACACTGGAAGTTTTTAAGAAGAGACTGGACAGCCATTTGTCCGAAATGGTATAGGGTTTCCTGCCTGAGCAGACGGTTGGACTAGATGACCTCCAAGGTCCCTTCCAACTTTACTACTACTATTATTATTACTACTACTATTATTATCTTCTGGAGTCCATTTAAGTTCACGCCTACTGCTTCAGTGACTCCATCCAGCCACCTCATTTTCTGTTGTCCCCTTCTTCTATTGCCCTCAATATTTCCCAGCATTAGGCCCTTCTCCAATGAGTCCTTCCTTCTCATTAGGTGGCCAAAGTATTTGAGTTTCAGCTTCAGGATCTAGCCTTCTAAAGACCAGTCAGGATTGATCTCTTCTAGGATTGACCGGTTTGAACACCTTGCAATCCAAGGGACTCACCGGAGTCTTCTCCAGCACCATAGTTCAAAGGCCTCAATTCTTTGTCACTCAGCCTTTCTTATGGTCCAACTTTCACATCCATACATTGCAACTGAGAAAACCATGGGGATGGAAATTATGAATCTTATTAGCCACTTTCTAAACTTCCAACCCCAAGGGATCTTTTTCATCTTGATTTCCTAGTGGACACTTTTGTATCTAATGCACCATTTTGGAGGAGGACTTCTGAAATGGCCAAAATTGTTTGGTGCTGTTGCTTCTACCTTGGCATACGAGTTGGCATATTCTACAAGATATACTAGCATCTTTCAAGAAGGTTGACTATGACTTTCTCAACTTTTAACTGAAGTTGAGAATGGCTGAAATAGAGGACACACAGTGATAAACAATACTGTGTTGTATCTATGACATTAAGTGGATTCCCTTTTCAGTATTTTGTCTTTAGTGATTATGGGATCCTGATGTCAAGCTTGAAGCACTTGCACAATGTTGTCACTTTTACTGCTTTTAAGCTTGCCAACGCACTAGGGGGGAGGGGAGGAGGAAAATGGAATGCAGACTCCAGACAACAAGAAATCCAACTGTGTGAACCAAGGACATTTTGCAGGTGTTTGCCAACTCACAGAGACACTTTCTTATAACAAACTTTTGACACTTGATTGGACAATGTGACATGCACTAATAGGGGGAGGGAGAATTGTGTGTTTTAATTATAGCAGTTCGCGCAGGAAATAATCAGATCTGGTTTTGCTTTCAACTGTGCCAAAATGATGTACTCAATAAAGTTTTGCATAAGAACATTGGAAAGTCTTGTTGGTGTTTACTTGGTTGGGTTCATTAGTCAGAACCTCGACACCTGAATGTAAAGCCATTAGAGAATTTTTTTAAAAAATGGTATGGAAAACACTGTAAGCCCACATATATGGAGGGAAGTGTGTAGTGGGGTGCCCCAGGGCTCTGTTCTGGGCCCAGTACTCTTCAACATCTTCATCAACGATTTGGATGAAGGGATAGATGGGGAACTCATCAAATTTGCAGATGACACCAAGCTGGCAGGAATAGCCAACACTCCAGAAGACAGGCTTCAGATACAGAAGGATCTGGACAGACTTGAACACTGGGCACTAACTAACAAAATGAAATTCAATGGTGAAAAAAGCAAGGTTCTACATTTAGGCAAGAAAAACCAAATGCACAAGTACAGCATAGGTGGCACCATGCTCAATAGTAGTAACTGTGAGAGGGACCTCGGAGTCCTAGTAGACAATCTCCTAAATATGAGCCAGCAGTGTGCTGCAGCTGCCAAAAAGGCCAACACAGTGCTAGGCTGCATTAACAGAGGGATAGAATCAAGATCACGTGAAGTATTAATACCACTCTTCAATGCCTTGGTAAGGCCACACTTGGAATACTGCATCCAGTTTTGGTCACCACGATGTAAAAAAGATGTTGAGACTCTAGAAAGAGTACAGAGAAGAGCAACAAAGATGATTAGGGGACTGGAGGCTAAAACATATAAGGAACGGTTGCGAGAATTGGGTATGTCTAGTTTAACGAAGAGAAGGACAAGGGGGGACATGATAGCAGTATTCCAATATCTCAGGGGCTGCCATAAAGAAGAGGGAATTAAGCTATTTTCCAAAGCACCTGAAGGCAGGACAAGAAGCAACGGGTGGAAACTAATCAAGGAGAGAAGCAACCTAGAACTAAGGAGAAACTTCCTGACAGTGAGAACAATTAATCAGTGGAACAGCTTGCCTCCAGAAGCAGTAAATGCTCCAACACTGGAAGTTTTTAAGAAGAGACTGGACAGCCATTTGTCCGAAATGGTGTAGGGTTTCCTGCCCGAGCAGGGGGTTGGACTAGATGACCTCCAAGGTCCCTTCCAACTTTACTACTATTACTATTACTATTACATACTAGCCCTTTCACATTCATCCTCATTATTACCACTAAACCTTTGCTGTATTTTTTAATATTCATTTTTTTTACATACAGAATCACCTACTTTAAGCACTACATTATGAACTGAAGAAGCTTCTTAGATGAGAAGTGAAACATTTTCAAAGGAAAAAGAAACAAGAACCTCCAGTTGCCTTTTGGAAAAGCACCTTTGAAACAACTATGACCTGGATGATTGAGAATCTCCAAAGACATTCTGAACTTCACTCATTGTAGGGCACAGCTTTACATATAGATAAGTCTGCAGATAATAGAATACAAAAATGCATTGTATTTTAGAAACCTGAGCTTTGAAAAAGTAAAGTCAGCTCATATATTCTTTGATCAACTAACGTTTTGAAGCAGGGTACAGAAACGAAAGCTTTTAAAAAACTAAAAACCAAGTTTAGCAATGAGATTAACCACAGTATACGCATAACCACATATGGTTGTTGCATACACTGGTTCATTTTATTCATTTTATTTCTAAACATACTGTATGTAAAGTCACACTCAAAGACAACAGTGATATTGAATGCAGCAATTGTATTGGAAAAAAACATGGGTATGTGCATTTCCTTCTTTCAAGTGCATTAAATAAGGAACAATCGATGATCAGGAGTCAGTTATTCCTTTCTATACATGTTTATTTTTAAAACTATACAGACATTGGGAAACTTAGAACTCCTTAGGACTGTATTGGCTGTCATTGATTTTGTAATGATAATATACATATAGATTATTCCTCATTCCTGGCTACGAACCTATTTGATAGTTACCATTTGTGACCACAAACATGTCAGAAATATTTACATGTGTTAAAGATTGCATAACTGAGCACAGTTGCTAGCTTAATGAGTCAAGAATTATCTAGGTGGTTGCTGGAGCACCCCCATACTATGATGGATTATTTTCTCCTTTTGGTCTGTTCATTTATTTTGGTTGTCTTTACGTGCCAACTGTGGAGACCTTTATCATAACCGAGCAACCCAAAGCAAGACAAAAAGAAGGGAAGCACAAACATCATCACACTAATGCATGGTGAACTGTAGGTCGATGTATTTCAAATGAAAATATACCAACAGCTGCCAGTAAAACAAATGTTTTACTTTGTGTATCTTGAAAAAGCCAATGTAGCCAGGGCTATGCACAGCCTGGTTCATTTTGGATAGCTCGTGCATTCTAGCAATCATCAGTATTCAAGCTGCCATCCCAATTGCTGTGGAAAATGAGAAACTAACACTGGGAGCAAAATTACAGAATTTAAAATTGGTCATTCTGGTTTAGTCTGTCCCTGGAGGACTGTGTGTTCTGTTCAACTGTTTAACATTTGTCTAACACCAGAAAAGTGTTGCCTGTTCACATCTTCCATGCAAGAGGGAGAAGGGATTTCTGCCAAACAAATAAAAAGAAGGCAATGGTTACTCCACAGTTTTCAGCAAAGCAGGGGATCTATAATAAAATATAGTTGCATATATGGAAATTTTTGCTTCATTCATTTTGCCCCCCCACCTTCCCACCCCCCCACCCTCCCACCCCCCCAAAAAATCTTCATGCACTAAATCCAAGTGCTACAAGCTAGTTATATATTTACAACATTTGTACATGTGCTCTAAGGAAGGGCACACAGCAGTTTCTTTATATATATATATAATTTGGGTGAGAAGAAAAACTGCCTTCTTCCCACTATCTAGTTTCATTGATCTGAAGGAAAAGATGACTCTTCCAAAAAGAAAAGCCTACAGAGGACAAAAGATATCATACATTTATAGCCAATGCTAATACACCAGACAGCATTTACCCCAAATTGTACCCGCTCTCATATACAACTGAAATGGTGACACCCAGACCTTGAGAGTTGATGTTGTTCCTCTCCTCTTGGTTCCTCTCAGATTCATGGGGCCTTCAATATGATCCTGGCTCTTTGTTGGATCATAGCACTTAAAAATGTAGAATGATATCATCCAGGTCACAACAGTGTTACAGTAGCCTTCAACAAATGATCTGATGGTTGGTATTTATTGAGTTATGGCACTAAAGATTCAGATCACTGCAAAGCATGTTATAAAGTTTAAAAGTTCATGAAACTCTGATGCTCAACAGACCAGGGCTGAGCCATTCCCTCTTTAGGTCAAGGAATGCTATGCATGGATAATGATAAATGTGCAGTGCATTCCCTGGGGCAGAAGAGAATGGGATGGCTCCTGCCTGCAGGATAGTCCATGTGTTTATTTTAAGTTCCCTCATATGCACCGAAGCCAATAGGTCATGGCACTGAAGTGAATTCAAACAGGAAACCAATCTTCTAATAAAATCCCAACAATAAGGCTCATGTCATCAACTTCCTTTCTGCTTGTTTAAAGGTAAAGGTAAGATACCCAGTAGACCAGATTAAACAAACAGAAGGCAGTGGGGAAAAATATGCGGGCATAGGAGTCCATTTTGGCAATGCGAATATGTATCCTTCCATGCCGCCAAGCTCCTGTTCGGCAATCCTCAAAGCAGCAGAAAAAACTTGCACAGTCCTTGCCGTCAAGACACTCATAACCATACTCTTCATCCCGTTCTTGGAGGTGTGTCGCATTGTTCATTTGAATCGTAGCTGACCTTGGACGGATATCAATTGTTGGTGCCTAAGATAAATGAGGGGCAAGAAGGAAAAAGGACAATAATGAACAGTTGTCCCTTTGCTATAAAAAGCTCAGCTAATTGGTGTGAAGCAACTAGTAGCTCTACAGAACAGGCACATGAACAACTTGCTAAAGATCTGGTTTGCTACTATAGTGATTAACCCATCATTCTGAACTGATGGAAAGGCATAATCCAACACTTATACCTTAAATCCAAATGTTACTGAATAGCAGCCACGCAGCAGGACTTAATTCCAAACAGGAATGTAGCCAAAGGAACACCATGATTTGCTTCCTTTGTTAGCTATAACATGACTGTTCAATAGAGGAAAATGATCGTATTTGTTTCTCATAGATTTGAAAGTTGATGCTTTATGTTTCTACATAGTGAAATAAGCTAAAATTGGTTATGGGGAAGTGGAATATTACCAGATTAATTATTTGTACATAGGTTAGGTGATGCTTTTAATGATCTTTGAAAATGAGCATTCCTATAACATGCAATTTTCAATTAACAACTGTTCACTAGCTAAAAGCTTCATCATGTCAAAATATGGCAGCTGTATATGTTCAATCATTTTAATCACATTTTACTGACAAAGATTTTTGAACTGTTGAGGAACAAACTGCTTGAAACCAGCAGCTAGCATATGAAAGATTTTTTTAAAAAAAAAAGTTATTGAAATAAAGACTGGAGACAGAAAGATATTTCCAATGTATTAGGATAATTCCATCATTTCATTTAATCTGTTACTTGGATATTTTAAAAGTATTTATTTCAGAATTCTATTTCATATTTAACAATGACATACAGCTACCCTGTATTTTCCACTCTGGATTTTGAGAACTAGTGACAGCAGTATATATAAGCATGTTATAGCCTTCAAAACTCTGTTGGCCTATGTAAGAATAATTATAAGATCATCCAATGGCATCCAATAGTTTACATCTTTGAAAGATTTCCAGCTAGCAAATATTCAGAAGATATCACTAAGGCTTAGGAATGATTTCTAAAAGAATGTATGGTGTATTCCTGGTGTGGTTATTACATTGGATTGGATCCCATGGATAACTTAAGAAGAGTGAAAGAATAATATAGACGTTTTGGATATTCTACAAGGATCTCTTCATGCATGCGATTCAAATATTCAAATCCTTTGAACTTGGAATAAGTTCAAAACAGCAGTGAATTAGTGTCTGGGCTGCTGAATCATCTTGATGTTCATTTCTAACTATGATCCATTCTACTTCACCATAAGGCTGTTTCAAGTAGAATGCACAAATTATTTTATAAACCTCTAGTGAAGCTCTAATTGTTCAGTTCAGCAGTCACATGCAGTGGATTTCTATTCCAAAAATATTATACCTTGAATGAAAACATCCGAAGAAGCTTTGGTTTTGTAGACAGAAAAAAAAAATCAGAATTTTTAAATTAAAGAAAAGAAGAAGAGGGGGAAAGGAGACAAAAAGTAGTTTAAATTAAAGATTCTATTTGAAACTATAGCAAGTTAAAAGAAAACAAACAGAAAAAGGATTTAAAATAGACTACTAAGCAATAACTTATGTAGAAAAGAATCAAAATTACACCTTTTGGAATTCTAATTTAAGCTATTTCTAAAGCTAAGGAAGCTATGATTTGTCGGCAAGCATTTAGTAATAGAAAATACATTTGATCAGATTTCTAAGGATTGTTCTTGCTTCCCCACCCATCCCTTTTGTTTTTCTTCTTCAATCTGCCATCTTTCTACATGGCAGTTCACTATATGGGTTGATGAAAGCAGAAAATCCTATTTACATAAAAACATTATATTGTATTTTGAGCAATGACTTTGAAGCTGTTCTTCTTTAAAAAATTAAACAGACACAAACAAAACCACAAAAGAGCAGTCTCTTTCTACAATGAAACAGCAGCCTTTGTTTGCCCTTCCTGCCATTAAAATAGTAAATAATAACAATAAACTAGTAAAGAATAACAATTTTTCTTCCACTGTTTGCAATGGAGAGAAATGCTTTAGATTAGGTCTAGCCTGATTTGTTTGTTTGTTTGTTTGTTTGTTTAATGACCTGGGATATTCCTCAGAACTGGAGGGTTTGGAGAGTCAACTAATCTAAAACCTTCCATTGTTAGTCCACATACATTTATATCTCCTGTGTCAGAACTCTGCTGTCAGAAAAGTGATAGCATGGAAGGTTTCATATCTGACTTCAGTCATTTGCCTCTCAAGTTAGAGTTCTTTCTGACCTCATACAGAGTTTGAGTTCTTCTATGATGATTTAGACACCATTGGCTATAGACTGCCATCTTCATTACAAAAGTTTGTAAAAGTCTATGGTAATTAAACTTGTTCTTCCTGGCATTTGAAGAATAAGTCCACGAATATTTTTGATCCAATAGTGACACAGTGGACTTAATATTTGCTGGCGATCTTATGTAATTGTTTCAACATACAATGAACTCTTGAAGCAGATAAGCACATATAAACTCACTATACAAATGTGTAATTTTTAACAAGAGGACGAGTACATTGTATTAATAAAACACACAAATGATAAACAGCTGAAAATAAAAATAAAAGTAGGGAGATAATATAGACCATTAAAACAAAAGGAAGAGTGATAAACAGGAAAAAATAGACAAGAAAAGACATACCATTTTTTTAAAATTAAAATTCATAACTAATGCGCTCTACAGTCTTTTCTCCAACCTTAGTAAGTTAATCCTAGACTTTCAGGGTTAACAAGCTCTATACTGGAGAAAAAATGTTGAAGCCTCCAGATGTCTATATCTACAAATCTTACCGCTTCCCAATAGAAGGTTCTATGCTTAGGAACAGAGGACTTGAAGGACAATGTCTAAAGGCACTAGGTTTCCACTGACATATATTAAAAGAAATGATATACGAAGTTATAATGGGCAGCCCATGCAAAGTATCTCCCTTGTTTGTTTGTTTTTTTAATCTGTTGATATAAATTGAAGATTCTGAAACAGCCATAAAGAGAATAAGCAAGAAAGTCTTTCAGAGTGATCCTAAGAAAAGTTGCAGAGTGCAATTCTGGCATGATTGATCTGCTTATTCCACAAAACTTGAGCAGCATTGAAGCTGGGGTCAGTAGGAAAATGAGTGCGCTCTTATGCTTTTGACTAGTCTCACCATTTCCAATATCTATATATACTACTTCAATGTGCTACTTAAAGGATTCCCTATTCCCATTTCTTCTGGATCTCCATCTATGTTCTATCTTTGTTCTACATCAGATATTTAAAAGATCTGCCATTTACATTCCTACTCATGCCTGGTGATAACGCAAATTTTATACACACACTTTCTATTTCGATATAGCTAAAAAAAAACCAAGAAAGAGTTCATTTCTGAAAAACATGGTTAAAATCAGGGTTTGTAACCTTGTTTATATTGCAATAAAATACATACAGGATTTTTCTTCTTTTTGTCTTTATTCTTGCTTGGCTTTCTGTTACTAACAAAATAATGAAGAGTCCCATACTCCACCAGTGCGGAAAAAACAAAAATGAAGCAGACTGACACAAAAAGATCCATTGCTGTCACATAAGAGACTTTGGGAAGAGATTTGCGAGCAATAGTACTGAGAGTGGTCATTGTCAGGACAGTTGTAATACCTAGTGAGGAAACAGAAACAGATAGAAAAGTACAGAAAATGTATTGTTGCATATGTAGAGAATTCTCGTGCTTGACAAAGCAGGACATGCAACAGAGATGGAAACAGAAATCAATTCATCTCTCTCTCTCTCTCTCTCTCTCTCTCTCTCTCTCTCTCTCTCTCTCTCTCTCTCTCTTTGAAGGTTCACAGTGGCTGGCTCAAGGTCACCTGATAGGCTAGTGTGACAGAGGTTTGTTTGACTGATGGGGGGCTAACAGTTGGTCTCACCACTACTATTCCAACACTTTATCTACTACACAACACTGACTCTCAATGTACATGTACATTTGATCCAGATAATAAATACGGATATGCCAAAATCCACACACAAACCAATGTAGAGGAATCTGCACATGAAAGGGACATATTTGTATAAGCATGTAAAAAAAGCTATATGTAAAAGTTCAGAAAAATAAGAAAATTGATTAATTGTACTTAACAGATTTGCTTAGCTTTGGAATTCTTTGGATCCAACCAGCAGCATGTTTCAATTAAATAAATAAACAGATCTTCAACTAAATAAATGTTTATTGATAGGATTCTTCCTTCAGCTTTCTGAGTATTGATCTCCCAAAGGATAACAAGAAAACAATACAGTTGCTTGCTTTGTTAGGCTTATTCAGATCTGCAACTTATAGTGCTCAGATCCCTTGTTATCATTCTCTTTTGTGAGTGTTATCCATCATGTTAATGCCTAAGGATGTTTTCTATAATATGCCTATACCATGAAATGTGAAAGGGAGAATGGAGTAAATCTCAACAAACCATTATTTGTTTTTGGGTAATCGCAGATGTCTTTAGTGTCTCCTCCTCTATAATTCCTACTGAATATAATTAGTTTGTGGCCAATTTCTACAACAAAGCCCTAGCTCTAGTTAGTCAAATGCAATAACACAGAGTTAGAAAAACAAGGATTAGCAAGGGGGGGGGGACAAATTCTGTTCAGCTCCATCTTGTGAGCAGCTAATCCTGTACTGTCTGGAAGGTGGCTTTTAACTGAAAGTATCTGCTACTTTATGCTGTTTATTACCTAGCTGGCAAGAAGTGAATAGCTTGGCTTAATCCTTCTATCTGGTACTGTTCTTTGGCAAAAATAATGGTCCTGAAGTATCTAGATAGCATAAAGTTACTAAGGGCATTTTAAAATGTTGGAATTTAGCTTCTCAATCCATAAAGCTCTTGTCTGAGTAAAGTGTGTGTTGAGTCCTCAAGTCAACGGCGAAAGAAGAGCACACATTCTGATGTTTCTAACAGCTTTTATTCTCTTCAGCTCTCTCCAACACAACTCAGAGGCTCGCAGGCCTCTCTGCCTTTTAAGTAGAATCCCCGGGCAAAAAGGTAACAAAGAATGGCGTGCTTTTGCACCTTGCGCATGCACGCAGGCTGGCGCCACTCAGTCTGGTCCCAGGCAGCTTGCAACAGCCCAGGACCATTGCAACGTCCCGATCCTGCTTTTGCAGGCTCAGGACACAACACCCCTTCCCCCTGGATGAAACTTAATTAACCTATATAGATAGGTATACGCGACCTCAACATGAACGTGGTGTGCTATCCTTATGGAACTGTACAACTGTTGCAGCTACTTACTAGCCACCTTATAGCATGGTGCCATGCTATTATTTTGGAATTAAGTGCCCAAGACTTGCACTTCCAAGTTCCCCAACAGTAGGCACCCTCTTCACCTCCCTTGCTTTGACAGCAATCTCACAAAATCTTCCAGGTGTTTGGGAGGTCTTTTAACCCTCTGTGACCTCCTCAGATTTTGAGAACACCCTTGACCATCCTGTGTGGTTATTATAGTGGAATTGCCCTCTCTTTTAAGCCCTGGTGGTCTCCGTGACCTGGGTTCTGTTTCCTGGTCTGCTTGCTTGCCCACCGGGCTCGTCAGACCAGGACTTTGCTCCAGACTATACCTGGTTGATCTGCCTAACTGCAGGCTATCAGGCCCTTCTATGTTTCCCCCAGTATTTGGCGAATCTGTGGTATTCTCCAAGTCCACAATGGACCTATCAAGGGAACACATCCCTTCACTCCCAAGCCCAGTAACTGGGTTGTCTAGGGTCTCTGCGGTGCCCAATACTCTGTTGCCCCCCATTCCATACCGGAGGTACCAGAATCAGGATTTGCCTCTCTGACTACCTCCCTGCATGCAGACTTCCTTTTGGGAGCAATTGCAGCATTGGGCCAGCTTGTTTGTTTGGGTGCCAGTTCTCTAGTGCTAGTTGGGTTGTTTGGATGCTCCCGGTTAGTCTCCCTGCTTGGAGTGCTGTATTGGGGTTGTGAATAATGAGCATGCCCCCTGGGTGACTCCCTGGCTGGAGTAAGTACTGGTGCCTGTATTGTTCCTTGTTCCCCTGAGTTCCTGTTAGGGACACTTGCAGAACCTTGGGAGAGGCCTTCCTCCACCTCTCCACTTGCCCCCGATTGCTGCCAACACTCTTTCTTTTGTATACAATTGTCCCCCTCCCTCCCTGGAGAAAACCCAGGGGTTGCAGAGGAAGAGTCCAGTCTCGTACGCAGCTGATCAATATGCTGCCGAAGGACACGACCGTTGTCCAGGGAAGCCTCGTAGGACAAGGGACTGGTGATCTTGCAGACTACAGCTGGGACCCACAGGTGACCGGGCCCATAGTTCTGGGTCCATACCGGGGCACCCACTTGCAGACACCTTGGTGCCCTTGGGTGGGAGACCCGAGGAGCCATCCTGTCCGGATGCAGCCTATCAAGTTTGGTGATCAGTCTGCACCCCCAGCGAAGTTCTACCGAGCTCTTCCCAGTGGAAATGGAAGGTGTGGTATGGTAAGCAAGAAGAAAATCTGCCAACCTGTGGTGCCAGTCACCATAAGTCAGTTTCTTGAGAGCATCCTTGGTGATGCGAACCATCCATTCAGCCATACTGTTGGTGGAAGGGTGGAATGGTGCCGAAGTTGCATGACAAATCATGTTGGCCTGCAAGAAAGCCTGAAACTTGGAAGAAGTGAATTGAGGACCATTGTCAGAAACCAGAACATCTGGAAGGCCATGTGCAGCAAAAATCCCTCTCAGTACTTGAATGGTCTTGGCAGCAGTAGTGGAAGAGACAGGAACAACCTCAAGCCACTTTGAATGGCTGTCAAAAAGGACCAAGAAGAATTGTCCCTGAAAGGGCCCAGCATAATCCACATGCACCCTAGACCAAGGTGACTGTGTCTCCTCCCATCTATGCACAGGAGCCTGAGGCATTTCAGGGCGTGAACGCTGGCACAAGTGGCATCCATGCACTCGGGCCTCTATTTCCCTGTCTAATCCTGGCCACCATAAATGGCTGCGCACAAGCGCTTTCATCCTGACAATGCCAGGATGACCCTCATGGAGATAAACCAAGACTCTAGGTCTCAATAAGGTAAAAATAACTACTCCGTTCCCCCACAACAGACAACCCTGAAAGGTGGATAACTCATGCTTCTTGAGCCAGAAGCTTTGGAACTCAGTACCTGGACAACTCTCAGGCCATCCAGACAAAACCCATGATAGTACACGAGTAAGCGTGAGATCTGTGGCTGATTCAGCAGCCACATCCCTGGCATTTAGGGGAGACTCAGGCAATGCCTGAATAGAGAGAATATTGATGGCAGGGGCAGGGTCAGCCTCTACCAGTTGCAGAGGTAATCTACTTAGGCCATCAGCGTGGCCCATTTCCTTGCCAGGTTTATGAGTCAAGGAAAAATCATAGGCAGACAAAAAAAAATAGACTTTCTCAGCATTCTAGGAGAAATAATATGGGGATTTTGTTTGTTAGTGGTGAACAACCCCAACAGAGGCTTATGGTCAGTATAGACCGTGAAATGTCTGCCATATAAAAAATCATGGAATTTTTTCATTCCAGCTACAATGGCCAAGGCTTCTCTATCTATCTGAGCGTAATTTCACTCAGCAGAGGACAAAGTTCTGGAGTAATATGCAACAGGAACCTGAGTTCCATCAGTTCTTAAGTGGCTAAGTACAGCCCCCACCCCATAAGGGGAAGCATCACAAGCGATGCAGACAGGAAGGGTTTCATTGAAATGTGCAAGCACATCATTTGATGTAAGTAAGGCCTTGACCTCATTGAAACTTTTTTCATGTACTTGGGACCACTGCCACACTGCCTGCTTGTCTAAAAGCCTATGAAGTGGTTCTGCTACATTAGCCTTATTGGGTAGGAAGACGTTGTAAAAATTCAAGAGGCCTAGGAATGCTTGTAACTCAGCTTTAGACTTAGGCCTAGGAGCCTGCTGTATAGTTTTTAATTTAGAATCAGCAGGGTGAATATCCCTGGCATCTATTCTGAATCCCTGGAAATCTGTAGAAGTAACTCCTATCTTACATTTATCTTTTTTAAGTTTTAGGCCTGTTTTTCTGAAACGGAGCAAAACAGCCCTCAATCTTTCAGCTAAATTCTGAGTGGATTCTCCAGCAATAAGGACATCATCAAAATAGGGGCAAACCCCAGGAAATCCTCTCAGGGTGTTTTCCATAATACTTTGGAATATTCCAGGAGCTACATTTACTCCAAATTGTAGTCTCTTGACTTTGAATGCCCCTCTATGGGTTACAATAGTCTGTGCTTCAGCAGCAGTTTCATCAACAGGTAACTGTTGATAAGCCTGTGCCAGATCTAACTTTGCAAAAACACGGCTCCCTTTGAGGGAAGCCAAAATATGGCTGACTACAGGTACAGGATATGCATGCTGTTGCAATGCCTTGTTTAATGTGCATTTGTAGTCTGCACAAATGCTAATGTCCCCATTAACCTTGAGAGGCATAACTATGGGGGTTTCCCAAGGACTTGAATCAACAGGTTCTAAAATGCCTTGCTGGATCAATTTATCCAGTTCAGCTGCTCTTCTCAAGGCTGCAATGTATTCTTTGGCTGATTCACCAGCTCTTTGATCCCTCTGTTCAAACGTGTGCCTCCACGCAATGACAGACAACTTGGGC